TTCCATGGTATGTGTGCCCAGCATTGCCTTGCCTGTCACAATGCTCAGTCCCGACACTGGGCCCCCCAGAACTTGCCAGTACTGGCCTGAGGTTTTTGAAAAGAAAAGCAAGGGTCAGGGAGGTACTGATCCAAGGGAACTGAGGGGAAGAATTAGAGACAGGGCAGTACAGAAGGAAGGTCGAGAGAGATGTATTGAGTAGGGGTCAGGAAAGGAGTCCTAATGAGGGGTTCCATGGGATGGCACAACAATTCGGGAAGGGCCCCCAGAAACAATATAGTAGAGAGAGTTGGAGCAGGCTATGTGCTGTGGAAGAGGAAAGAACCATGGGGGCAATAAAGGTTAGGGAAATTCACAGCAAAACAAAAAGGGGATCAGGTAAGAATAGGTGAATCGAAGTGTGGATGACTCACCCCAGGTCTTCCAGACATAAACAAAGCTTCGTGTCTGAGACCCAGGGCCAGATGGGCAGGCCCTCCCATCAGGGAAGATGCAGGTATCATCAGGTACCTGGGGATACACTGGCTCTCCTCCCCACACCTGGCTCCCTGAAAGATCAATACAGAGTCACCCTCAAACCCTGGCATTCCCTTCTGTACACCAAAACTCCTCACATGGCTCCCAGAGAGGGGCTGTGGGAATACTCCTTAGCTACAAAGTACATTCCCCTTGGTATAACCCTTTTGGGTGGCAGCGGGAAGGATGGAAACTGGAATTAAAGATTCATATGTACTTAACGACAGACATAGAAAAGAAATTAGAAGGCCATATATCAAAATATTTAGAGTGGTTTGCTCTAGCTAGTAGGATAAAAACAAAAATAAGAGCCACCAGCTAACATTTTTTGAACCTTGCCTTAGCCTAGGGCAGGCATTATGCTAAATTCTTTATATACAATCACATTTTAATCCTTACAACAACTGTTCAAGTAGGTATCATCCCCATTCTACAGATAAGGGAATGGAAGTACAAAACAATTAAGTAACTTGCCCAGGGTCACATATTATTTACAAATTTAAATCCATGTCTGTCTAAATTCTAGGTCCCCTAGGTCTTCTGCCTGCAATTTTGCATGCTATGTATTTTTTTTTCTTTTTTCTTTATCTGTGTTTAAAATTTTTTTCTACAACGAATATTATAGAATATGTATATAATTTATTTTTTTAAGAAAAGTAGAAAGGAAGAGAATACTTTTTGAGCTCACTGGGGACACCAGGGAATCTGAGCCCTTAGAGTAAGGTCCTAGAGCAGAGAGGTACTCACCATTGATGATGGTGTTGTTGGCCCAGATGACCTGCCCATCTGGCAGCACCTTTTGGCTTTCAGGGAAGTGCAGGGCGATAGAGAAGGAGGCATTTGCCCCGACCAGTGTAGGGCCATCATTACTGACCTTCAAGGACACCTGGCCACCTGGGAAGGACAGCTGCATTAGCTGAGACTCCTTGTTTTTTTCTCCCCTTATACCTTTCCCCTTCCTATCTTCCGAAGCTCCATTCAACCCAGTTCTTGCTCCTCTACCCACACCCTGCCCTCCCTGGAAATTGCTAAGTTCCCACCTCTCCAGCAATCAGGCCCCTGGATTTCTGTCCACTCTGGATACAGCTGCCTGTTCCAGGGTTTTGTTGTGAGCGGCCTTGAGACACCCAGCCAGTCCTGGTCTCTGGGTCCTAAAAAGAAGGTACAGTGAAGGTCCTAGGATCACGCCTCAGTCCCGTGTCAGGGAATAGCGCTGTCCCATGTCACCCTACTCACTCTCACATTCAAAGTGCATCTTAATTTACTGAACACCCACAACGTACCAGGCACTGTAATAGGTACAAAGGACTTAAGGAACGAATAAGACACGGGCACCTGGGTGGCTCAGTCGGTTAAGCATCCGACTTTGGCTTGGGTCATGATCTCATGGTTTGTGAGTTCAAGCCCTGTGTGGGGATCTGTGCTGACAGTTCAGAGCCTGGAGCCCGCTTCAGATTCTGTCTCCCTCTCTCTCTGCCCCTCCCCTGCTCATGTTCTATCTCTCACTCTCTCAAAAACAAATAAACATTAAAAAACAAGAACAAAACCAAAAACAAACAAGACATGACCCTGAAGGGATTCAAGGTAAAGTATTGGAAATAGATACATCCATAAATTATAATCATTGAAGGCACTGTTCAATATGCCCGCATATTGTGAATGTTGTAGACATTCACAAAGTACATGTCTATGTTGTAGACATTCACAAAGTACAACAAAATGACAGATGAAAAAGATTAGTTCCTCTCTGGTGAATTGGGAAAGACCATCGGCTTGACGAGTTGGCCTGTGGGATAGAACACTCTGAGCAGAAGGACCAGCATGAGCAGATGCATGGAGGCATGTTAGCATGAGGCATGACAGGGACTACCAGTGTGGTTGATGAACACTGTAAGAGATGAGGCCAAGAAAACAAGTGGAGGCCCTGAATGCCAAGCAAAGGAGTTTGGCTTTTATTCTGTAGACAAGACCATGGCAGAAGATTTTGTGTCATTGACATATAATTTCCATGCCAAAAAATTCACCCTTCAGAAGCTTTTTTAATATGATCAGATCTGTATTTTAGAAGGATCATTATAGCAAGCAATGTAGAGGATGGATCAGAGGCAGGCAGAAGTTGGGAGTGAGGACCAAGCAGACAAAATTATTATAACTGACCAAGAGAAAGGTCTGAGAAAAAGGGGTATGAGGGATCTACATATACCTCACCCAGATACAAAAACTATCCTTTTTCTATCCTTTGTTATTGTTGTTTATTTATTTGTTGGCTAAAGTATTTAGAAGTAAATCCCAGACATCTTGTTATTTTAACCCTACAATTTCAGTATATATCTGTAAAAAATATGAACATTTTCTTGAATCAGCACAATGTCATTTCACACTGGACACAATTATCAAACCCAATTCATATAAAATTTCATGAATATCTAACATGTCTTATGATTAAAAAAATCAATATCTAAAAAGTAAGCACAATCTTTTTAAGAGGGTCAGGTGGACAAGTATGAACAGAATGTTTCCAAAATACAGTTAGGAGCATAGTAAAAGAAAAAGACTTGAAACTACAGCACAAATGAGGGAAGTCAGATGAAGGAGAAGCTCCTAGAAGTCTGTGAGACCAGGGATCTAGAGAAAGAAAGGGGAGACTGGGACATGATATCTATATTTTAGCACAGGAGAAACTATCTTTGCTCCATTTCTAATGTTTACTGGATACCTAGCTGAGTCTGCTTGGGGAGGGGAGATCTGGAATCATTTCATAGAGCATCCTACCACTAGAGCAAGAGAATCATAAGATGCCCCATTCTTTCTTCATTCCCAACCCTCCCTCCTCAGAGCAGCACGGGACATTCCAGACCCTCTCACCACCCACACCCCCACCCCTTGCTCCTGTCACGAGGCCCCAATCCCCCAGAGCCCTTTCATGTGATGCTCAGCTGAGACCCCTCTGCCTGTCTCTTCCAGCCCCAGAACAAAAGCCTGAGCTATGTTCACCCATCCCCATCTCAAAGAGGGGAGGTGGTACCTCCTTACTTTTTCAATCCAATACCACATTCTCTCACTTCTCACTTCAAATACCCTATCCCAGGTACCTAAGTCATTGCCTAAAAGAGTCTCCCACTCGTTTCACTTTTGAAGCCCCTACTTGGACTTACTGCCCTAGGGGCCTCAGGATTAGGGCTACAAAGACCCACTATCCTTGTGCCCTTACAAGCAGATGGTATTATTCTCAGGCTCAGTCCCAGATCTCCACATAGGGAGGGAGCTCAGATGCCCATGTCCTCACTAACTCAAATGGGTGGGAGAAGCCTGAGATATTGCTGGTATCTCCCATAAAGAGGGGGAAAACCAGAGCAGGTGTGCAACCCCAAATTCACACTTGTTCATGGCAATACTCCCCACACTCACCTTCTGTAACCCCCACAGCCAGAAGAGCACTCATCATAACCACATGGAGAAGGCATTTTCTCAGCATCAGATGCATCCTGTTCTTTCTTCCAGCAACCAAAGGCGCTGGGGGGCTAGGGCAAGCCCCTATATAGGAGAGGGGTGCTCATTTGCATAGCCCTTCCTCCTCTCCATCCAGAGGAGTCTTGGGAGGGGCAGGAGGACGGAGAAAGGCAGAACTGACAAGGGATCCTGGTCCCTGAACATCCCGCTACTCAACCACAGTTTCTAGTTTCACTGGGTCGCTCTCTTCTTGACTGGGAAAGAATTGACTGAAGGGCAGGTGCATAACATGTACCTAACACATACGATTCACCATAGGAGAGTGAATCAATCTGTTTTTGTTTTTTTTAATCAAATCAGGAAATCTTTCAAAAAAAACAAAGACTCTGCATCCCAAAAGAGAGAGTATAGAATAGACAGAGGGCGGAGGCAACTGCATCTCCGGGGCCCAGAAAACCCGTACAATGAGATTCCCAATTTCCTGCTTTTCAAAGGAGGCTCCCTGGGCCAGGTGGAATTTAATCTTAGGGAGAGACACATTTTCCCTACAGGTGGTGAAACGGCGAATTAGAGATCAGGAAATCCCTACAGATTCAGGACACAGGTAGGAAACGCGAGTCCAAATCAGGTACTTGGAAAAAGACATTTTGCTTCCCCACAGAGGCAGAAACTTAAGTATCCTCGTTAATAAACTTGCGTGAGGTGGGGTCATTTGCTGCAGCTAGGCGCGCTGGGCTCGCCCCCCGCCGCTCTGACGTTAACCAATAGGAAGGGCCGGGGGCGGAGCTAGGGAAACGCGGGAAGGAGGGGCGGGGCCTCTGGTGGCGGTAGGGAACTGGAGGGGAGGCGGCAACATTGTTTCAAGTTGGACAAATTGACAAGAGCGAGAAATACACTGCGTTCCATCCCGACCTGGGGCCGCGGAGCTGGGCCCGGTTTTCCCCTCCTCCACCCCCCGAGAGTCGGGGCCCGCCTTTTGCAGGTTTCCCAGGCCCCCGCTCCAGGGCCGGGCTGACCCGACTCGCTAGCGCTTCATGGAGAACTTCCAAAAAGTGGAAAAGATCGGAGAGGGCACGTACGGAGTTGTGTACAAAGCCAAAAACAAGGTGACGGGAGAAGTGGTGGCGCTTAAAAAAATCCGCCTGGACACGTGAGTGGCCTCTGTACCCGGGACTCCTAACTCGGGAGCTCCTTGAGTGCCCCCTGCCCCCACCCCAACAGGCGGGTAGCAGTCCAAGGACCGGAAGGTGGCAGGGAGGGACTTCTTTTTAAGTGGAGAGGTGGGTTGGAGGACAGCGATGGGTTTCCCGGTGGAGAGTGTAGGGCACTTAGAATATATGGGAAACTTCCTCCCCAAAGTCGAGGGATGCCCCCAAATGTGCAATCAGAAAGACTCAGAAAGAGGAAGGAGGCCTCTGAGATGGGGTCCAGGACTCCCCGTGGAGTTGGGTTTTGTGGGAACCAGTGAAGAGCACCTTTCTGAATGAAGAGTCCTCCTGACTGCCCCAACCCCACCCTCATCTTAGAATTCTCTACCTCTTTCAAAAGAATGGCAGTTGAACCTCACTGGCCCTTCTAGGGAGGCTGGGTGCTGCTACTCCTATTTTTTTCCCTGTTTCCTTCTCTCTTCTTTACCTCCACCAGGAGGCTTTACTTACCTACCGCTGGGAAAAGAAGAATAATGACCTTAATATATCCCCTGTCCAAAGGCGAATTAACTCCTACAGCACCCTTTCTCTTCTCTCACTTCCCTAGGGGATGCTGGGGTGGTGTCTCATTGGGAAGAAAAGAATGACTGAGCTGGGGGAAAAGGAGTGTTTGTAACCACATTCCTATCTCTGCTTTCTCCACCTCTCCAAGTGAGACAGAGGGTGTACCCAGTACTGCTATACGAGAGATTTCTCTGCTTAAGGAGCTTAACCACCCTAACATTGTCAAGTAAGTATATCTGGGAGGTGTTCTGACAGTAAAGGAGGTGTTCTTGTCTGTGTAGCCTGGGTATTATTCTTCCTCACCTCCATTCCTGGACCTCCCTTCCCTAGGCTGCTGGATGTCATCCACACAGAAAACAAACTCTACCTAGTTTTTGAGTTTCTGCACCAGGATCTGAAGAAATTCATGGATGCCTCTGCTTTGACTGGCATTCCTCTTCCCCTCATCAAGGTAATCCTTCTCATTAACTCCTCCCCAGCATGGGCATGTTTTGGGGGGACTGAAGGCACGCTGTGCAGACTGAGTGATGATTTGTGATCTTGGCTTCCTTCCCAGCCCTCATCCCCCTGCACACACAGACACAACACACACACCCCTTTCTTTTGTGGCTCTCCCACTGCTCATTATGTTTATTAACCCTAGGGCTGGGTAGGAGAATCAAAGAAGTTGAAACTCTAGTGAGTCAACTTCATAGCTCAGGTGGAAGGTCAGATGAAACTCAGATAAATGGGACTTGAGGGCACTTGGTAGGTTCCTCCAAGAAGCCCTTCCACCTGTTTGGTAGGAGAAATAGCCAGTGAGTTTCTGTTGTCTGTTTTAGGGCTGGGTTCTTTACTCCCCGAGTTATTTTCAATCTCTCAACAAACGTTTATTCAATGCACATTTATTGAACACCTTCAATGTATTAGGTACAGGATATGGAAAAGAGATGCAAAACTGAAGAAGAAGACCTGGTCCTTATCTTCACTAGACTGATAGTCCAATGGGAGATACAGTTTATAAACATGTAATTATAATCTAATATAGTAAAAGGCTTTGGTAGAGCTTTGCAGGCACAGAGCAGATCTAGTAGCTCACTGTGGTAGAGAAAGTTTTCTCTCTCTCCTTTGTCAGAGCTATCTGTTCCAGCTGCTCCAGGGCCTAGCCTTCTGCCATTCTCATCGGGTTCTGCACCGAGACCTCAAACCTCAGAATCTGCTTATCAACGCAGAGGGGGCCATCAAGCTAGCAGACTTTGGACTAGCCAGAGCCTTTGGAGTACCTGTTCGTACCTACACCCATGAGGTGAGACCCTCTCTGCATTTCTTCTCTGAACTTCCTGGGAGGTGTTAACAAGAACATTCACAAAATTTTAAACATCTCTGGCCAGCAGTTTCTCTCTCACTACACGGAAAGTATCTCTGGCACTCCAAGAGGTTTTATTTTTATTTATTTATTTATTTTTTTAATTTTTTTTTTTCAACGTTTATTTATTTTTGGGACAGAGAGAGACAGAGCATGAACGGGCGAGGGGCAGAGAGAGGGAGACACAGAATCGGAAACAGGCTCCAGGCTCTGAGCCATCAGCCCAGAGCCCGACGCGGGGCTCGAACTCACGGACCGTGAGATCGTGACCTGGTTGAAGTCGGATGCTTAACCGACTGCGCCACCCAGGCGCCCCTCCAAGAGGTTTTAGAGTATGCACCAAGTTCCAGTTGTGGGGCTAACTGGGCTTTGATAGATGCCAAGCCAGGAGAGCTGGATGGCACACTATTAAAATTATGAGCACTTTTCTCAAGTTTTCCAGGAAGGTTGTAAATTCTGGGTTCAGAAAATATGGTCCCCAGAGACTAACTCTGGTCTAAGAAGTTGTATGTAGTCATCTATACTTAGGGAAAGTCAGAAAGATGGGAAAGATGGAGAGAGAGAGGCTGCTTGTTAACAGGCTGAGAGTTAGCAGAGTAACACTGAAGAGCTGAGATATGGGAATCACCATGCCCCACGCACCGCCCTTCCCCTTCCTGCTCTTGTCCCCAGGTGGTGACCCTGTGGTACCGAGCACCTGAAATCCTTCTGGGCTGCAAGTACTACTCCACAGCTGTAGATATCTGGAGCCTGGGCTGCATCTTTGCTGAGATGGTACGGAGGCAAGCCCGAGTTCCACCCAGCTCACTCCCCCACATTCAAGAACAACAGAACTGTTTCTTGGCCTAGACTCATGGCCATTCTATATTATCACAGGGTTCCTTCTCTAGGGTAGCACCAAGGTGGGTAGGGGGAAAGGATAGGACTGTTGTCCCTGATGTCAACCACAATGTTAGTATATCCTCAAACAGCCTTAGCATCCAATACACATCTCTTATACCCGAATTGAGCGAAATTATTTCTGCAGCTGTTTTTAGTCTGCATATACTTGGGAGAATGAGTACCAATTTACTGCCTCCTTCATTTGGCCTGTAGACCTTCTTGTAGGGTTCCAGGATTATGATGAAGTCAACTATGTTCACCTTATTCATACTTTTATTTAAACTGCGGGCTTAAATCATGTCCTCCCCAACCTCTGGCTTTTCAGTTTGAAAGATCCCTGAGGCCCAGACTTTTCTGGGAGCTCTCATTTTCTTTAATATAACAGTGGAGTGGGCTGAGTTTTCAAATCAAATCAGCAATTTGTTTTATGGTCCTTTATCTGGGTTGTAACTGGGGGCTTGGAGACCATTAACCTATATATAAAATGTGCATTTATCCCCCAATACATTACCTTACAATTGCCCATATTCCTCTCTCAATTCATCAAAAAATATTTGTTAAGCACCTAGTGTGTACCCAGCACCATGCTAGGTGCTGTGGGGAACACAGAAGAAATGGAAGACACAGTCTCTGCCCGCTGTGCTCCTATCTAGAAGTGGCTGCATCACAAGGAGGGGGGATGACCGCAGTGTCTACCCCACACCCCGTGAGTGGCTTGGGATCCCTTTGCTACATGTCAGTGGCACCCCAGACATTCACCCCCTCCCAGCCCTACCCAGCCTTGGGGATCTGCAAAGGCATGGTTGGGGGAAGGAAGGAGGGGGCGAGGAGACAGATGAAGGGACTTCATTGTCTCAGGCTCTGTGTGACTGACCCCATGAAAGGCCCTGGGGAGGGAGTCATGGGGCCCTCCTGACCTTCCACTGCCTGTGGGAACCTCCGGTGCACAGGGAGCAGCTTTGACTGACATCAGTGCGGGTCTTGGCCTTTTTTCTTTACCCATTTTCAGGTGACCCGCCGAGCCCTATTTCCTGGAGATTCCGAAATCGACCAACTCTTCCGGATCTTCCGGACTCTGGGGACCCCAGATGAAGTGGTTTGGCCAGGAGTTACTTCTATGCCTGATTATAAGCCGAGTTTCCCCAAGTGGGCCCGGCAAGATTTTAGCAAAGTTGTTCCTCCCTTGGATGAAGATGGACGGAGCTTGCTGTCGGTGAGAGTTGGGGGTGGGCACCCATTTCCTCTCATTTACTCCCCCAGGGCAGGTTTTTTTTCCAGGATGTAGGAAGGATGAGACCCTGGACTCTGGGTCTTGGCATTTCCTTAGTCCCTGCTTCTCTCTCCCTGTTGGCACACCCATTCAGATGTAGGGAGGAGGGAATTGGGAACCCTGCTTGGGTAAAAGGAATTCTGCTTTCCTGATTTCTCGGAACACCTGCTGCCCATTTGGTCCAATGTCACATCACTGAAGTCAGCATACATCTTTCCCTCCAGCAAATGCTGCACTACGACCCCAACAAGCGGATTTCGGCAAAGGCAGCTCTGGCTCACCCTTTCTTCCAGGATGTGACCAAGCCAGTGCCCCACCTTCGACTCTGATGTCCTACCCCAGTCTCACCCTGTCCTCCAGTGGGGGCCTGATCTGCCTTGGCCCTAGGCTATTTACCCTCTGATCTTGTCTGGCTGTCTTAACACCTCCCCCTCTTAGCCAGCCAACTCTGAGGATATAAGGGGTGGAGAAGAGAAATAGGTGAAAATGAAAGGAAGCTTCAGTATTAGATGCACTTAAGTCCCTCCACCACCCTCTCCCCCTCTTCTTAGTCATTGCTGAGGAGGGCTGGTATTTAAAAAGAAAAGAAAAGACTGCCCTCCACATAGGGCTTGCCATCCCAATCTCTGAAAGCCCTGAAAATTATTATTTCCTGTGTTCGGGATGACAGACACCCCAAGCCTCGCCTCGGCCACTGCGTTTATAAGGTCAACTGATAGCAGAGAACCTAAGTTGGGACTTCAGAAAACCAAGCAAAACAAAACAGAGGGAGGGGCCTGTTTTAAAGAATTAGGTTAAAAAATAGATCCAACCAGTTTATACCCTAATTTTAGTGTTTCATCTCACCTAACAGTCTGGGAGACTCAAGACTCCCAGTCTCTGCAGTCTTGATGAGACTGCAGTAGAAACAATTGCCCCTAGTCCCTCTATCTGTCCCAACTATGGGCAAGAGGTATCTGGGAGGCTCTAGGACAGGGATTGTACTTCACCGTGGCCTTATGGGGCAAGTAAAAGTTGTCTGAATTTTTCTCTTCCTTTTAAGACTTTGGTTCTTCACATGCCAGGTCCCATCTTCCTCTGAAGGCTACCCCCATAGGAGTGGAAGTTAGGGTTTAGACATCATTTTGAAAATGCTGACACTTTTTTAGGGCTGTGACTGAGTGAGGGCATTGGGAAAATTTTTTTCTTTAAAAGAAGGATGAACAATTATATTTATATTTCAGGTTATAGTGTTTTTTAAGTGGGAATGGGTGGATTTGTTGCCATGTGCACCTTGGGGTTTTGTAATGCAAATGTTTTAAAGAAAGTATTTTTTTTTCCTTTTTTGATGTTTGTCTCCCTTCTCCCACCTCTTGTCTTCGAGTGTTCATGCTATTAACATTATTTGTAATTTAGTTTGTGATTCATTAAAAACAAAAGTTCCTAGTTTTATAGTTCATCTCTTTTCTCCTTTACTTAGGTGTATTTATTTACACAAAGAATGATGTGTGAGAGAGAATATGAATGTGTATATGTGATAGTTGGTTTCAGAGCTCCCCTCTTCCTAATCTCTGTGCAGGGCTATCCACCTCACCCCATCACCCCAGTTTAGCTTCTATTATGCAATTGGGATAGTGCCCAGGGTGGACAAAATGGGAATTACTGCCCCATTTTACGGCCGGGTTAATGGAAGCCTACTTCATTTTCCCCACGAACCTGAATCATCCCCTACCACACACATGTACATACAGGGCGGCAGTTCCTGGATTTCAGAGGTTTAGGAGGGACTTAGGAGCAGCAATGTGGTTGGAAGTGGGCTCCGTGGGAATTCGCCTTGACACTGCATTTCCCAGGAAGCTCGTCGTTTTTCCTTTTTTTTTTTTTT